GATGCTAATGAGTCACCAGAATAAATTTCTTCAGTTAAGCTAGTGTAAAAAATTAATTTATTTGCTCAAATAAGCAGAAAGTGCAACTGAAATATATTATAAACAAAGTGCTGCTGCATTTAGCCCTACAAGATCAAACCCAGAACGGAGAATGATTTATGATTTTTGTCCATGTCGTGCCATTTTTGTGCTAAAACATCAAATATGCTCAGGGTCATCATCAAGTCAACAGATGCAAGTCGATTCAAGTCGTAAGTCATTGGTGTTCAAGTCCTAGTCAAGTAGTAAGTCTTTATAGATTTGATCAAGTCAAGTCAAGTCCGAAGTCATTAAAATAATGACTCGAGTCCAAGTCATGTGACTCGAGTCCACACCTCTGGTATTTTCTCTCCATTTAGGTTAGCATGACAAAAGTGAATGAACTAAATGCCTTTAATTCATCATAAATGTGCACACCACACTGCTTTTAACGCCGGAGTTGAAAATCAATAAATTTTGTGTGGAGAAATGATGAAAATAGAGATGTTTGGGTCAAATTTAGCAAAAAAGTACAATCTTACTCAACACTGCAAGATTGCTTGTACTTTTGTTGCCGTTTTTTTAAAACATAAACTGCTAAACTGTTAGAATTGTGCTTGAAATGGTGAATGGAACTGAAATGCTGCAACAACTACCAGATTTTAGCCAGCTGAAAAATGTATATACAATAAGGTTTTTTTCTCAGTTTTCCATGATTGTTGGTCTTTGATGCAGTGTATGTGAGAACCTTCTCAGTCTACACTGGACAATGTTTAAAGAAATCCTGAAAACATCTATTGTACAACCCAGTACGTGAAGGATGATTGACCTGTTGTTCTAAACCCCTTCAGTTCTTTTGGCTTTGTGTTACATTTCCTTAATTCACTGTTGTTAATTTATGCTGCTCTAGTTGAATCTCGTTCTTTCGGTCATTACCCAAAGCTCATGACCATAGGTGAGGACTGGGACGTAGATCGACCGGTAAATCGAGAGCCTGGCTTTCTGGCTCAGCTCCCTCTTCACCACGACAGATCGGCTCAACGTCCGCATCACTGTAGACGCTGAACCAATCCGCCTGTCGATCTCCCGATCCCTCCTACCCTCACTCGTGAACAAGACCCCGAGATACTTAAACTCCTCCACTTGAGGTAGGACCTCTCCCCCGACCCGCAGTTCAGAGTACCTGAAAAAGAAAAAAATGGTTTCTCAGTGAGTCTGGTCTTTAATGTAGCTTCAAAGCATATGAATCACCTACAATTCCAGAAGCAGTGGTCAACTGTGAAGTGGATCATCTTTTTTCTAAGTCAATGGCAGAACACCTTTGCACACTATTCTAAAACCAAAGTGCGTTTTGGAAATGGACCCAACTATCAAGCGTTCATGGGCGTGTCCGTGGGAATTAAAGCAAACCCACTACTTTGGCTGGCAGAAAGGTATTTATGTGGGCAACGCTAACTACAGCCTCTGCTTTGCAACCAAGACCAAGGAGAAAGTAAGTCTTTATTTGAAAAGAGATTCATCTCTACATAGAAGGATGTTTAACACATGCAAGAACAAATACGCTGTCAGCTCTCACTCTCACTATGAATAGACTGGACAGCTCCAGACCTTTTAAATGCTGTTTAAAATGTTGATAAGGAAAGAGCAGCAAAGGAAACGCTTGCACGGATGGTTGACTGAGCAGGTGTGTTGGGGGGAACAGATCCAGCATGTGTGATGTATGATTAAGAAGCTGGAGAAAGCCTGAGGAAATGGTGCCATTGAAGATAAATGTTGATGATAATTAAACTGATTTTAATTATTTATAACACCTAGGTATAGGATAATTGTAAAGGAGCATTATGTCTCTATATCTGGAGTAAAATAATGGAATAAAGTGTGAGTAGAAATCTTGTCAGAAGTGGATGGATTCAAACCTGTCACATAGTGCTCTGCAAAACCTCCTGTTCTATTTTAATAGCTGATTAATTGGAGTATTCCTTTTGTCCATTATTTCTTTAGAAGGAACGCATAACTTCTCGGTCCTTACCGTGACATAATTCAGTTACGTCGACGCATGGCCCTTCTGCTGGCTGCTGCACTTTGGCTTTTTAAAGGACCTGATTTTTTTTGTGGCAAACCAAAAAAACGAGATATAAAAATATAATGATAACATTAACTGAAGTATTTAAAGATTTTGTAAGTGTGGATTACTAATATGAAAGCATTACTTGTCCTTCTGACACTTAGCACCGTACGAGGTGAATTCCTCATTTGAGAGCCACAGTATCACCAGAACTGCAGAGAAACAGAAAATAATGGTGAATTACGTGTCGTTACACTTGTAAATTGTCACTCTAAGCTTTTAAGAGAGAGCACAGTCCAGCTTACAGCGTAGTGCCTCACCTTCTGGCTCTGTTATCATTCTTTCATACTTTCAGTGTCACGTTTAGGTCATTGGGGGGGTCCATAAATAACATCGGGAGCTGCTGAGCTCTATTTTCAATTATTCTCTTCTTATTTCTGTGATCCAATTTTCTCCACACTTGGAGCTAAGGAGCTTTTTGGTGAGACATAGTTTGCTGCAGCTTTACAAATCAAGCTATTCCACTGCTGTCCAATTCACCAGCAGACCCATAAATGGATCTGTGCAGCAACAAGGCTCCGCATGTTGAAACATGAGTGTGTCGTGCTCTTGTTGATGCAGTGGAAAGGCCCAACTGGCATTCTATTTTATTTTAAATAATAATTATAGCTTATGGTTAGCATTTATCTGCTTGCAGCATGCCTGTGATACAAGTTTGACGTCTGCCGTTTGTTGAGTCATTAGTTTGACTGAAATAGGTCATTAAAGCACCGCACCGACCTCACAAATCCCTACTGACATCAAGTCCAGAGGGGCTGGTTGGTGCACAAGTTGCCCTCACGCTGTAATTTCACTGCCACTCACGCATTAGCTTTACAAATCCTCGATCCACTGACGATTCACCTCTTTCTTTTCTCGAGGATTTTAGAGGCTAACACTAAGAACTGATGTCTGTATGGGACAACGGTGCTACTTTCAAAAATCTATTTCCTTCTCAGTGTGGGAAAACTCCTGCTGGAGCACCTTTTCATCATGTTTGAACATTTTTTTCATAGTACATGCAGCTAATTTCAATAAAACTGTAACACAGATGTTTGGTGAATGCTGTGGAAACAAGATGAAAGATCTGTTAAAAGGGGAAGAGAGGCATCCTGTTCCCTGCAAATCTGAACCCATCTCACTCATTTTAACACCGAGGCCCAGGAGCTGAACAATTCAACTGGACAACATTCTAAACATTCCCTGTAGGTCTCATGTTAAGTACTTTGAACCTCCTGCCTCTTCAGTGCTAACTAAGCTCTCATGGTAGCATTTTCTCACCATTATCCTGGTTTGTCCTCAGGGTGGGACTCCATTGACCAGGAGAGTCAGCCTTTGAGAGTTGTTCATCTCCATTGATGATGCCCTGTGAACGTGCTGGGGCCTGTGAACAGACAGTCTCCCAGCCCAGGAGGATGGGATGTCCTCTGGGGAAACAGAACCATGGAAGAGAACACTCAGTCTTAAAATGGGATTAAAAAAAAGGACAAGAAGTCTTTGAGATATCACCGCACACACTGAACTGTGTATTCAGGAAGGTTTATGTGAAACTGCTTCTGCCATCACTTTCTATAGGTAATGTTTTTGGACTATAAAGCATATTTTTTAATGTTTTTGCATTTTAATGTTTCACTGCAGCAAATAAATTTCATTATCGGCCAAATAAAATCTGAGAAAATGCAAAATGTTGGCAAAAATATCTCAAAAAGCAACACACACACAGTTGTAAAAATTTCAAAAAGAAAATAACTCTGAGCAATATCTTAGCACCACAGACCGCGTGGTTTGGGTTAAGGTCAGAGTTCACCTATGAAAATGGCATTGTGAGAAAGTCCCAAGACCAACATCTCTGCTGACCAACAAGAACTAAAAGGCTTGTCTCACTTGTGTGAAGACATTTCTTGATGATGACCAAAACCTTGGGGAGAATAGTCTGAGGAATGACGAGACAAGAGTGGAACATCTTGTAAGGTGTCGCAACAGTCAAACACGGTGGTGGTAGTGGGATGGTCTGGAACTGCTTTACTGTTTAAGGACTTTTGGTGATTTTCTGTCATTGAACCATGATTTTTGCTCTCCACCAGAAATGTTTGTCCGTTGGTCATGAACAGGTTGTTCATAGAGGAAATCGTTTCAGTTCAGATGCAGTAAAACAATTATGCAAAAAGTGGGCCAAAAATCCTTCAAAGTGATTGGAGAGACTCATCATATCATCACAATTACTTCAGTTCATCTGTTGCTAATACTGTTGCAGCCTTCAGTTTGACTGGTTTACTTTTTCCAAGTCAGTTGTAGGATACAGCCTAATACCAGCTACCTTTAAAAGTACCACGTGTCCTTAAATCCTTGTTCATGACTAGTGATCAGACTTTCAAATTAAAAGTCCTTAGAAATGACAGCTGCATCTCTTTTATAATAAATGACCTGTACTTGTATAGCACCTTTAAGAGTCAAAGGACTCTAAAGTGCTTTCCACTACAGTGTATCATTCATCCATTCACACACACAGATTCACACCCTGGTGGGGGTGAACTACAATGTAGCCACAGCTGTCCTGGGACGCTGACAGGGACAAGACTGCCGAGCACAGGCACCACCAGTTCCTCCAGCCACCACCAGAAGGCAAGTTGGTGCCCAAGGACACAACTCTGATTACTGGGCGACCCTCTTTCCCCACTGAGCTACTGCTGCTCCTTATATATTCATGTCTCTGTGCTTCAATGCCTTTTTATCAATTCCAGCCTCATCTTGTTTCCAAATATGTTTTCATTTAAGCGTGATGTGCTTGATTTCCGGATAAAAGGATTTCACCTAGCTTTTGTAAACTGATATGATCACCATGTGTGTTAATCAAAACCTGGGACTTACTGCAGGAAAGTGAGAATGAAAGCAAATGTTTTAATTGGAGCACATCAGAGGGGTTTGATATGTGACCAGCACACTCTGCCTCTGATCCACTTTACAGCAATTATTATTCTTTTTTCAGAAACATTTACAAAACAAGTACAAGGTTCTGTTTTATTGGGATGAGGGGTGGCACACAGATAAACTTTAAAACACCAAAGTTGTCTTTAATAAAACGTCATTTCCCACGTCTTTTATTACACTATATACACCTTTTGCACAATAAGAAATGATATAAATCAGAACACTGAAAAAAAATCCAAACAGCATAATACTGATTACAACTGAAACCATTGTCAGCAAGAATCCTCAGCTGAAGGGTTTCATGGTCGATTTCAAGTCTTTCACCTCAGCCTGACGGACCCTAAACACAAAATTCTTCAGACTAGCACATCCAATGTGCTGGCGCCCCCTTCAGTTGTTGTGTAACGTTGTCCAGTGTTGCTTTTGCATTTGGTTGGAAAATGCCCTTGTGTGAGAGACATTGGACAGAATAAATCTTTTTAAAAAACACAAAGAAATCACTGTTGTGTTCCTGTTTTTTTTTTTATTTCATGTTGCTCTGAATCCAGTCTTTGAAGTTGGAGACACGTGTGTAAACTGTGTAGAGGTCGGGATCGCACTCCCCTTGGTCATAGCCAAAGCTCACGAGTCCCAGGAGTCTCCACAAACCTTGGTCCTCCTGCCCTTGAGAAAGCTTTGAACCATAATTGTCCTGGTTCTCAGAGAGGGCAGGGAGGACCAGGATCCCCCCTGTATCAGAGGGACATATGTTGGATGGTCTGTAGTCTGGTTTTTGGCTAGCACACAGCATATTGTCTGTAACACTGACCCGCACACCGTTACGAGCATACTGCTGCTCACATGGGACTATGTCAGCAAGGTGAACCAGCCCAACCCTTGCCTTCTCATCAGGCCCTAAACCTGGATCAGGACGTAGAGACCAGCCCGTCACAAGCCCCTGACCAAACACCACCTCTTCTTCCTGGATCTCTGGCAAGCAGAGCGGCAGGATTTTTTCTCCAATTCTTGCTTTGTCCATTAACTTCATCACAGCAATGTCGGAATCAAGAATGTTAGGATCATAGTTGGGATGCACAGCAATGGAGGTCACCTGAAAGAGGAAGACATACATTAATCCCGAGTTACCTTAAAGAGGACGTACACTCATTATTTCAGTTCATCCTTCTAGTTTAATGAAGGCCTTGTGAGTCGTTCTCTGAGGGAGAAAAACGATCAGGAAAAAATACAAGTAAAAGTTATCCGGAGGGAGAAAAAGGCAGGATTCTGAGTCTTACTAATTAAAATTCACAATATTCTGACATCTTGCCTCTGACTGACTAATAACAAGGTCAAGGTCAAGGTCAATTTTACTTATAGAGCGCATTTACAGCAGCAAAGCTACACCCAAAGCGCTGTACAAGGTAAAACAAATCAAGATACAACAAATCAACAATAAAAACCTAAAATAAGATGAGCACACAACAGTCACAATCTATAATAAAAACTTAAAAACTATTAAGATGCTCAAGTCAGCCTGCATTAAAAGCCAAATCAAAAAAATCCGTCTTAAGAAGGGATTTAAAATGTTCTAGATTATGTGTGGTCCTGATGTTGAGAGCTAGCTTGTTCCACAGTTTGGGACCAACCACAGAGAAAGCTCTGTCGCCGCGAGTCCTGTGGCGGGTTTTTGGAACTGTTAAAAGAGCTTCAGAGCTGGACCTCATAGTTCTGGCAGGGACGTAAGCGGACATCAGCTCAGAGATATAAAATGGGGCCACACATGGTGTGTGTGTGTGTGTGTGTGTGTGTGTGTGTGTGTGTGTGTGTGTGTGTGTGTGTGTGTGTGTGTGTGTGTGTGTGTGTGTGTGTGTGTGTGTGTGTGTGTGTGTGTGTGTGTGTGTGTGTGTGTGTGTGTGTGTGTGTGTGTGTGTGTGTGTGTGTCTGCTCTGTCTTCTCGATCCCCAGTGAGCCGTGGAGGATGGCTGCTTATACTGAGCCAGGATTCTCTGGAGGTTTCTTCCTGTTAAAAGGGAGTTTTCCTCTCCACTGTCGCTTTATGCTTGCTTGGTATGAGGATTGCTGTATAGTCACTGACACTAGTCAGTGACTTGATGCAATTTGCTGGGTTCCTTATATAGGAAACATTATTTCTGATTGGCTTAATGAACTGACCTGAATTGGAATGTTTATCATGTGAAGTGCCTTGAGACGACTCTTGTCGTGATTTGGCGCTATATAAATAAACTTGAATTGAATTGAATTGAAAGTTTGCATAACAACACGACTCTTTCACTGCCTCTGTTTGCTCTGCAACATGGATGTGCTATCTCAACAAATAACTCAAGCCTGAATGAGTTCTGCTATATTGTAGAGTTATTAATGCTAACAGTTAGCTTTTACTTTTTTTTTTTTCCACCGTTAGCTATTAGAAGTTAATGGTTAGCTTATAATAGCCAAGATGTGCACTGCTCTCCCCTGGCTGCAAACATCAACATCAACATTCTTCCGTCACAAGCCAAGACAAGTGAGTCCATGAATGCTAATTTACAGTGTGATATAGATCTGAGTGGCTGTTCCTGACCCAAACGTTCCCTTGTTTATTTTCTGTCGAAGACTAATGCAGGAGATAGGGGTCAATCCAACGCCCTCCATGCATGTGAAACTCAAAGTGATCAAATTCCAAAAAGCACAAGTGTGATATGTTTCCCAGTGAACCTCATCTTTAAATAAAACAAAAATAAAACATGATGGATCTTACCCTCAGGTGTTGAAGACCTTTATTTTCTCTGCGATCATCGCGATAGTGCTTCCCCACAACCACTCTGATTGTAGCTGCATCCGCAGGATACACTTTTCCCAGCTCTGTCACACAGTGAGCGGCTACCACCAAACTCCTCTGGTTAACCAGAGCCCCGCTGCAGACCAGCTGCCAGCCAGATCCCAGGTTTAGGATGCCACTCCACGTTCCATCGTCCTTCTTCACAGACTCTGCCTGGCTGTTTCCCTTTGTCATCTTAGCCTCTGTACCCTTACTGGTGCGGCGGTAGATGGCTGCCAGCCAGGGCCAGTGAGCCTCTTCTGGCCTCTCTGGGTCAAAGGTCAGATGCTTTCCACACACTGTCAAAAAGGAGATAACACGATGAAAGATAGAACTTTGATCATGTAATGTGGTGCAACAAAATCGCATGAAATAAGGTTTTTTGTTGAGATAATAATGAGAATTGACTGTTTTCTGTGGAGTTTCAGCTGTTTAGGGAAATCGGTGGTCCTGACAGTACATAAAACACAATTTTGTCTAACAATGCCTCTCAGGATGAAAACAATAAAGCAACTGCCTAAATGTACACTTTGCTGACAGTCCACCAAAGAGGTCTAGCCCAATGAACCCTTGACTCATTCCTCTACCTTTCCAACACAAATAAATCACAAAGAGCCCCTCTGTGGTGATCCTGAGCAGAATTCAGTACATAAATACTGGCGTGTAGCCATCAGCAATCAGAAGAAAGTCAGTGATCCTCTGCTGCCCTCACCTGGTGAACATGACACATGACGCCCGCTCCATTTCCCAGTCTTCAAGCAAGTACGCCTAGGACTCCCAAAGTGATGGTAGAACTGAGACGCACACTCATACTCTATATGAGTGTAAAGGTGGTGGAAGCCCTGGGGCAACTGGGGAAGCACTGGAGGGGATATAGTGGCACCACCAGACAGAACCTTCTGACCTGCTGCAGAGTGGAAGAGCTTGTGCACCGGCGTCTTTCTGAAGGAAACAAAGGGCGCATCAGAGAGATGATCTGCATTTCCTGGATGGCATATCTTTATGGGACTTACACATTTTACTTGTTTACAATAAATTATTATTACCTGGATGGAGCCAGAGGTGGAAGAACTTTTTGTTTCACCAGTTCTGACACTTTAGGTGCACGGCACGCTGCAAATAAATGTACAACACTGAATTACACCTTTTTGCTATTTGTGTCGTTTTTGTGTGTTTGCTCTTTAGTTTTGGTCATTCTCTTCCATATCAGGTGGACACACCATTTTAAGGGTCAGACACTCTCATGGTGAATTGTTTGATGGTTCCGTCTGTGCAGATTCAATCAGAGTTTACACTCAGTGCAACACCTGGAAATTCACGGGTCCACTGTGAATTTTTGCTGACTGCAGTTTGAAGCAGGGGCGTGTCCAGGGAGTGGCCTGGGGTAGCACATGCCACACTTGGAATCTGATTGGCCACCCCAGGTGTCATCACACTAATTTACTTTTAAATAGGCTTTTCATTGTCCACAAAAGTAAAACAAAAAAAACATAACCATTGGTGCCACCCATGCACAAAGCTGTGCCTCACCTGGGCCACCCCATTTTAAAAGATCTGAACACGCCACTGGTTTGAAGAGCCCTCTGTTTTAACTACAGGAGTTGATGTGTTGACCTTTCATTCACAATGACATAATAACTTGGGTGATTGGTTCATTCCTTCTCCTATCTTGCCTTGGAAAGATTTATAACTCGGTCTGGTATTGTTATGTTTGTCATAAAAACAATAAGTTGGATTATTCAGCCTCTTTTTTGAGCCCTCTTCCACCATCCAACCACTATCGGTTTCTCTTTTCAAAATCAACCAAACAAAAATGTTAATTTAAATAATCCTATCATCTTGTAAGCGTATGCACAAAAATGACAGGAAGTGCTTTAATAGACAAATAAATAAGAGTACCTCTGACACACACGGGCTGTTTGCCACTCCAGGTCCCGCCAGGCTGACAGCTACGTCTCTTGTCGCCACTGAGGGCGTAGGAGTGGTTGCACATGAACTCCACTGTTTCTGGCTCCAGCCCCGACACCACCTGGTGGTAGCCATTAAGAAGGCGGGGCAGAGCTGGGCACTTCTTTTCTTAATGAGTAGAATAAACAGTTAGTGAGGATGAAGGGTAAAGTGTATTTGTTGTATCCTGTATTCTTCTCACCAGTGAAACTCTGGTTGATTTCTTTCTCCTTTTCCTCCTCTTCCCTGTTTTTCCCCATCTCCACCCCAGTCTCGTCTTTTTTACTGTTAAATGTTTCCTTTGATTTCCCATTCTCCCCTTCTGCTCTGTACAGGGTGTACTGTGTCACATTAACTCGAGTGGGAAAGATTTTCCTGCCCGTTGACCCAACAGTGTTATTTTCTTTCTTGGTGTCCTTTGAGCCTCGCGTAACCGTGACGTTCTTTGTCATTTCCTGTTCCAGTGTCTCCACGGTGTTGTTGCCCTCAGATATGACCGTTCTCTGCTTGGTTTCATTCGGCCCAAATTTGTCCGGATCTCTTTTTCCGTTCACCTGTTCATCTTTTCTTTCCTTTTCTTCTTGACCTTTGTCTTTCTTCACCACCATGTTGGTGATGTTCGTATTGCCTTTTTCCGTGTCTAAGCCTTCTGCTTCTTTTTCTAGTTGCTTTGGTGCTTCTGTTTGTTCATCTTCAAAGGTGTCCAGACTGTTATCGGCATCTTCGCTATCCACCTCGTTTTTCTCATCTTCCCCGGACTTCTCTGGTGGTGTTTTGTTTTCCTCTAATTCTCTTTCTTTCCCACCTTCTTCCACCGTGTTTTCTGGAGTGGTCCCAGTAAATGTGTCCTCCACGTCCACTGCTGTTGTGTTCTTTATGTCTCTCTCACCAACAGTTTCTGTTTTGTTTTGCTGATGTTTCTCTTCAGGTGTAGTGACATCTTTGTCATCATACACATCTTTGTGTTCCCCCTTTTCTGCGTCTTTGGCTTTGTTTATCTCCTTCTCAGCTTCAGTAAGTGTGTTATTAACTGTGTAAGAAAACAAAATCCTATTAAAAGCTTGATTTTTAGGATATTTTTCTTTTCTAATATTTTGACAGACCTTTAGTGCAAACAGGAGGTGTCCCACTCCAAGTGTTGTTAAGGCAGGTTCTTTGGGAGCTCCCAACGAGCTCATAGGGCTGGTGACACAAATACTGAAGAGCGATGAGGACATCGTTGGGCCCGTAAACTAAAAAGTGGTCTCCGTTGGAAGGTTTAGGTGGTAGAGTGCAAACTCTTTCCACTGGCACTGCGAGGAAAGAAAATTCAAGCAGTTGCCATGATCTGCACCAAGTGGCTCGCAAAAACAAGCAAGACTTTCTAACTCCCAAAATGTTGTAATTAAAAAGAAAAGAAAAAAAACACATTATTTTATCTTACCACACTCTGGGGGAGGTGCACTCCAGGTGCCGTCACTCAAGCAAATGGCAGAACGATGTCCCCGCAGCTCAAAGCCGGGGTCACAACGGTAAGCGATGCGAGCTCCAGAATGGAGAAACAGGGCCTCCGTGGAGCCATGTGTGGGTACCAGAGGCCTGCGGCATCCCACCACTGAGCAAAGGGGAAAAAAGCAGACATGCACAGTTAAATTACAGGCACATGCTGTGTTTCTGTTGGTTTTAATCAACCGAATGGCGGATTTTCACAAACACGTTGCACAAAGTTTTCAGAAGACATTTCCAGAGTGGAATTGTTTTACTGCAATTACACGCTGTAAAAAAAAACCCACACTGACAGATCATTCAGAGGACTTCGACACATGGAGGACAAACTTCGGTTTTAACAAATGAAGCGTTCTAAGTCCAGCGATGTAAACGTTTAGCCTGCTACCTCAGAAGCTTATTAACAGATCACTTCACCAATCACAAGGAGGTGTGAACAGCAAGACTTTAACACACGGCTTGTAAATGAGTTAGAAATAGATGCAATAAAAGTGTTGTAGTCAAACTGTTTCATTTTCCACCCTGAGAGGATTTTATGAAGTAGATTTCAACTAATTAGTCAAATGTTATTTAACCGTTAGACAACAAAACTCACTGCAATTTTACTTTCACTAATGATGAAGAAAAAGTATGATTTTCTTATTAAAAATGAAAATCCTATAATTATCTTAAAGATTAAGTAAAAATTACATTTATGAAAGGTATTAAATCATAAAAAAATGAGTCCCCAAAACAAAAACTAAACATTAAACTTTACTGTTTCACTTTTCCCAGTTGAGAAAAGTGTTTGTGTAGTTGATGTCATTTGGCTCAGATCCATGACATGCATCATTTCTGCCTTTCATAACACCAAACTCTCTCTGTAAACCAAACATTTCCAACCTTTATGGGATGGAACACATTGGTCGACCAAAAACTTCTAAGTATTCAAAGTGTGTACATATAAATCTGAAGCTGCCTGACCATCTGCTTTTCCGTCCCTATCCACAGACTTAATGACACACGTCTGGAGTTATTAGAAAGGAATGCTGTTCATCTTTTCTTGCTTTGAAAACTTTGTCGAACATCACAACCCAGAAGTGATTGGGCTCTTAAAATATTTTATTTTTCCAGACAAAAAATAAAAATAAAAAAATAAAATAAATGAGGAACGTCTACATTTCCTTACAAATGGTGCGAATAATGAACAATTAGATGTCATAATTGAGCTCAGATTTACAGTAGATGACATGTTCCTTATTAGAGGTTATAATCTAAGGCAGTTATATTCTAGAAATCCTCCTTGTGGCTCCAATGCAACCATTTAGAAACATTAACAGTATTAAATTGGAAACATTAATGTTAATACAACTTTTTTATTACCAATGTGGAAAATCCAGAATAGATTATTGAGAAATATTGAAATAAATAACAGAAAAGCTTTCTATTGGCAAACTCTTTAATGGAAAAATCTAGCTACAGTTGTTAGTTTTATAAAGTTTTATGGTAACACTTTCTTTTACAGTCCCCTAATTACCAAGTACTTACATGGTAATTACGTTGTCAGTTAAAGTGTATTATTGTTTCTGAGTTCTTAAACCATTATTACCATGTAACTCAGGTTCAATTTTAGTTTTTATTTTTATTAATCATTCCCAGTAAATACTGCTTTACACAATAGTTACACTTTATTACAATTATACACTTTAATTACACAATAATACACTTTAACTTACAATGTAATTACCATGTAAATACAACTATGGCTTCCTTTTGTCCACACTCTCTACCATGCGCATCACCGAGAAAGCACATGCCTGGTTTGAATTGTACCTCACAGGACAATCATTCAGTGTATCTTGGCTTGGACAATCCTCTACCGTGCACCATCTCACAGCCTACACCACGCTCAGGACAATCCAGACTCTTCTCATGCATCATTCCACAAATGTGGAATGAGTTCCAAGCACTACCAGAACAGGGGCTTCCTTTTCAATTTTCAAGAAACTCCTGAAGACCCTGCTCTTCAGAGAGCATCTTCCTATAGCACCTTGCCTGCACCCGTCCCCCCTCCTCTACCGTCCACTCCTTGTTCCCTCCTCTCCATGATTGATGTCATGTTGTTGTTATTGTTGTTGTTAGCCTCAAGAGCAACATGCCGATTATCACTTGTAAGTTGCTTTGGACAAAAGCGTCTGCTAAATACATAAACATTAACATAAGAAATAAATTCTTTATAAATATTCTGTTACTAGGTGTTTCTATTGCTTTGGATGAAATGACTAAAATAGTACACGTATTTCACTAGAGTCACTAAATCCTTTCAGATGCCTCGTGGGCCTTGATATGAAAATATATGAGCAAAACTTGTTTACATTTTAAAGAACCTGTAAATATTTTCTTTTCTTCTTTTTCACCATGAGTTTTGGTTCCATGACACACTCACCGTTTTCACACCTCTTGCCTGTGTAGCCAGCTAGACAGGCGCAGTGGTAAGTGTATGAAGTGTCCAGGACGCAAGTCCCATCATGCAGGCACGGGGAGGAACTGCAGGCTGTAAACACACAACACCACGCTAAAACACAAACAGAAACTCTGGTTTTATCAGTAGAGCAGGTTCACAGGAAAAACTCCTTGTATCGTTAGATCAAAGCGTTTAAATCAGAAAGCTTTTCTTTCAAAAGTTGTGTGGACGTTTTCATACAAAAAGCTCCTGTTTGCTTTTACGAGTTCTGGCTTGGCTGCTGGTAACCCGTGTGCACGTTTGTGTGTTTGCTTTTGGGTTTTAGACATTAAAAAGCCTGGAAAGAGAGGGTGTTTAGGTTTCTTAGCTGACTAATAACGAGCCTAACACCACGACGAAGGCTTGTCTGCAGCATGTAGGTGCCAGTCATGCTTTATTAAAGGCTTTTAAAATTGCAACTGGCCATGGAGCACCATGGAAACGTGTTTCTTGTTTGCATTTGTTGTGTTGCCACAGCTCCAAAGAGTCTCTTTTGTTCATTGAGTAGAACTTCCCAAGTGCCCTTTAAAAACTATCACAAACATTGGTTCTCTCGCATGGATGCTGCAGACATTGCAACAAAAAAATGAAAAACACTGTTTTTCATAAACTTTTTCAGGGGAACCCACCTGAGCTTTCCTGGAAAGTAGCAAAGAACCCGTCAAAATTTTTGTAACCGTCAGACACAAACAGAATGTGCAAACTGTTGCCGGAGCTCTGAAGTGGAGCTGGTCGGTTGTTTCCACAGAATCGACCAATAACACGAGAGTTAATGCTGTCTCCGTCTCGGACCTCCACGTAGTCGTAGCGGCAAGCATGATGGGATTCCAAGCTTAGCATCATAAACCTAAAAGGCCAAGAGAAAGAGACAGAAAATAACTAAAAATACACAACGTGAACATCCATTTTCTTTGCTACAAATGTTTGAGGGCAGAAAATTACTGTTTCTTTTTTTTTTGTTACATCTTTGAAGTCAGGAGAAAATTTATGTTTGAATGCACTAATTGATGGAGGCAGATGTTGGAGGCAGGAAAGCTTAGACTAGGAGAAATAAGGTAACGATAAAGGTTGTAATTAATTCCACCTGCAAATCAGTAAAAAATATTTGTTGCCTGTTATGGCTATATGATTTAAATAAACATTGAACAGAAAAAAAGCAATTCTCCATTCATTCATACTGTAAAACTACCATAATAATTTACAAACTATAAGGATAAGTTTTATTTAGTAAAATGTGACATGGCAGGGCTATTTAGTTCTGAGCTTTCATAATTACCACAACTTCAAATTTCACAATGAGCTGCATAAACACCAGGCAATCATATTTGAAACCACCGAATGTACTTTTCAGAATGAAAAAATAAATAAATAACATTTAAAAAAATAAAACAGAGTTATTAGACTGCATTAAGTTTTGTCTCTGCTGAACCTTTGCAAAAGCAATTTCCTATTAAAATCTGTAAGGATAAAGTCAAAAAGGGGCAGAAATAGAATGCACAGAAACTTGGAAAAAAAATTTCTGTTGTGCTGTAAATGTGCCGTTAGTCCACGAAGATTAATCTTGCAGAAAAACTTGAGCTGAATGGAAATTGTATTAAAGCTGACCACACTCTGATAGCTCTAACAGATGGACAGTGAACGTACAAACAGCTGATAGTTTGACTCCATGAAAATCTGACAGTGTGAATTTTTTTTACTTCCCCTCAGCAGATTGTCATCATTCCATCCATCCATCCATCCATCCATTCCTCCATCCATCATCTATTTATCCATCCATTAATTCATCCATTCATCCATCATCCATTCATCTATTCATCACCCACCATTCTTCCATCCATCTGTCATCAGTTCCTCCATCCATCATCTATTCCTCCACCCATCCATCTATTCATTCATTCATTCATTCATTCATTCATTCATTCATTCATTCATTCATTCATTCATTCATTCATCTATTCATCATCCACCATTCTTCCATCCATCTATCCATCCATCCATCCATCCATCCATCTGAGAATCAGTAAACTACAGAAGATGAAGCTTGTGATCTCACCTGAGTTTGATATTAAACGGCCTGTCCACCTGAATGGTCCACTCACACCGTGCATTGTTGGGGTAGCTTTCAAGAATCAAATGGCCCTGCTGTTTGCGGATTACTCCGCCACACTCTGCAAAATAAAATTAAAAATCTGCTGTGGAAAGACGGATATACTGTAGGTTGCAAGTTTGAATTTTGATTCAACTTTAAACCACGTTCAGTTTCTTTGTTCCAGTGACCAACAAAACGTAAGCAACACACACCCATCAGCTATTTCTATCATACTGTATGTTTTAACTAACCATGTTCTGTGGGTGGTTTGTCTCTTGTTATATTTGCACAAAGGACATGGTCAGTGTTAAGGGTTTTAAAGGTTTCTTGATTGTTGATTGTGTGGAACCTCCTGGGTTTGTGGCAGCTTTCCCAAACGGCTTGGTATAACTAAGCAGGGAGGGAAGGGATAGTCCACTCACGCTCATGTGACTCAAAGGAAAACACTCCCCTTACAGTAAGTTATCTCGGTAACGGTGGTGATATGAAAAGACTTACTCATGCAATCTCCACCAGACCAGCCGGGACGACACTCAGAGCAGTATTTGCCACTATTAAAGAAATTATCTTGAGGCCCCCACGTCCCATTGTTGCAACGCTTACAGTTCTCAAAAATGCTGCAACCTGAAAAGAGAAAAATAGAAGCTGGATGGCATGAAACTGTGTTTGTGTTTGGTTTGCAGTACATTATCAAGGTATACCGTCATGTTATGTAAGGAAAGGAAAAGCTTTTGTTCCCAGAAGGCCTGGGTTAAATCTCTGCTCCTGAACAGACCTCCATAAAATTTCTTTTGCATCAACTCTGCTAAACACATTAAGCTCACCCGTCTCTACAACAGAAAATGAAAACATACAGCTGCTTCCTGAAATAGAAAAGTATTGAAATTGTTTCCTTTAAATATGGATTTTCACTTAAGAGGCTGTGTGTTAGGAGGCGAACAGCAACGCAACCGGAGTGTGAGTTAAACTTTTAACAAAAGAGTCTGGCTGTAGATCTATAAATGTTTATTATTGCAAACTGTGCTTACAGAACATTTTTAAGGTTTACCAGTAAAAATTAGATGTACGTGTTTCCTTTTAATTTTGAACAGCTGTTCTTTTCCCCATAAAAGCAAATAAGAGCATGTTCAAACTTTGAAGGAAACATGGCACACTTGTACAGGCAGAAACAGTAGAACACAGGAGTTTAGAGCTGGGGTTCATGTATTTGGAAGTCTCAGATATGTTATGGACAGAATATGTAAGTGGAAACTACACCATTTACTCATTAAACCAAAAACAAACATCAAGATTTTCACAAAAACTCTTCCTAAATCAAAATTCCTGGAAAGTTTATTTGCTCCTGCGTCCTGACAATCTAAGAGGTCTCTACCAGGGAGTCAAAAGAGTTTGCTGAAAAAAATCTGGAACCACTTAAGATTGATGGCATGAATGTCTCCAGGTCAGTTTTTGTCTCTGCCAAATTTAACTTTTGCAGCTTTGGTCACTTTGCTAGACTTCTGGATCTGAAACAGTGACTAATCATGGGAATGGATTAATTTCTGTTTTTGACTATAAAATAAAGTGCAGCTTGCTCTTGTGTGAGGCTCCATAGAGCTGGTGCCTGTAATAATAAATGCGGGGACATGTACATAGGTTATGTGGTGCAACATGGTGATCATTTAAAGGGCCAATGTGTAGTTTTTATTGTTGATCTCTGGAAATATCCATTAAAATATTGTTGAAATCGAATGAAATGGTGCCCAGTTGTTGAGAAATATTGGCGGCTTCGTAACATATAAATCTGGTCTAAATTACATGGGAGCGGGTCTAAGTCTCTGGGTGACACCATATTAGATGCCATGTTTTCTTCTACGGGAGCCCATGAGAACAAAACACATTTACTGATTTGTAGTACGGTAACAAAACCTTCACCATTAATAAACATTGTTTTATACATTAACCCCTTCACTCATTGCCTGTGATGAAAGGCAGTCTAATGTGCTCGTCATTTTGCTGAAGTTTGCACCCCACAAGCCTTTTTGATCCTAATGAGCATCCGTTGGTAAGGTCTTACTCCAACACAAAAATACAGCTTGCTTGCAATTATTTAGGTATCTACTGCCCCATCGCCAGGAAAAATACACACTGTCACTTGAAGTCCTAACTGGTATGAATTTTCAACTAGTGCTTCATCCATGGATGAATTGATAAACAGAATATCTGTTAATACTTCATTTTACTTTTATTTTTTAAGATTTCAATATGGTGGTGGTTACTGGAGTACTAGCGCAGAGAGGTAGCAGCTGGTGTCATTTGTAAATGAACATATTACTTCTAAAAAACAGGGAAGCGATGAGTTTTATGTTTTTTTCAAAATAAATGAACGGAAACAGGCCAGAACCGGTGGGTACATATAACAAAATATGAATGAAAGGGAAACTGGGGTCTAGATCTACAGCAATTGCTGATAAGTAAACGAAAGCACCTGAGATATATGTGGATGCAAACATAAGGGACAATGATGGAACACAAAGGCTACGAGAAAAAATGCTTCAAATATAAGTAGAAAACTGAAACTATTACAGGAGTAATATGTGAGAATTCTACCATGAAATAATCACTAAAGAGCCTTATGTCTCACTCGCCTTTGTTTCCATTGCCTGAACTTCAGGGTAAATTCTGGCAGGGGAAAATTGATTGGGAGATACGATGTCCCAGTCCTCTCAGCTGTTGTGTCTCCATTCAAATTCAGCCTTTTCTGGATTTTGCACAAAGGTCATCATGTTGCAACTGCTTCGGCAATGAGTGATGTCACTCAGCGCTATAAAGCACCCACAGTAACATTAATAACATTAAAAACATTTATTCTGTTGAATTTAATCCATTCAGAGCACGAGAACTGCTGTGTAATGTAAAATGTGTCGTTCAATGACCAGAAGAAGTGCAATTTTTTTACAGCACTCTGTAGCACAAAAGAGCCCCGTTAATTAAGTCATTGTGGGGGAATTCGGCTGTGTTTTCCGGTGTCAGGAGTTTAAATTTAAGTGCACTTGGTGCTTATTTCTTTTACTTTCAGTTTGCTTCACCGGCAACTCTTCTCATTCTACTAATGCTGGTTGTTTTGGACAACATCTGCTGATGTAATTTCCTACTGAGTTACAACCAATCAGCATGAGTTAACCAAAGTTCCACTCAGCTACTCCACTAGGCCATTCTGAGTACCTACCCCTCATCAGATACTCCAAAAATTCCCGAAAACAGCCCGGAAAATGGCCGTCCGGTCATGTTGGGAAGTTCCTATAAATTTAACCCTAAGTTCTGATCATGGAAACAGGGCTAACAAGACACATTTAATACCCAGCCAGCTAGGTAGGTTCAGTTTTTCTGCTTACAAAACAACTAAAGAAGGGTGTAGTTACTGTTTACAACCTGTGAGCCCGTGAGGTGGCCGAATCTGCTTTGAACCAACGCTGTAGCACCGGCATTTGGAAATCAAAACTGGCAGGCGAAAAGTCAGCAAACAGGAGCAACCAAGAAGTTTTTTCTCATACCTCTAGGAAGCCACAACATCTTTTTGCTTTACTCTAATTTCAGGTGAAGAAGGCTTTAGGCTAACACTGAGCTAACAATGCTGACGATGATTTAAAAACAGTCAGGTCTAAAAATATCTCAAGCTACTTTTTCTATTACCAACAACTCAATATTACAGTGAAATGTGTGCGTGAAGTGAACAATGAGTCAACCGTGGCGTTTTACTTCCTTTAATGGGTCGTTCAGAACTATAACAGCAAGACGGCTAACAACCACACTTCCTCTAATGCTTGAAATATTACCATAATATGTGTAGTAATTGCTCTCTACCGTAAAACACCTAAGAGTGCTAACAACAGATATGACAATGTGTTTATCTACTTATCTAGTTACTGTGTGACTCATCTTTGCTTGTCATCTAGAATCATCTGGCGCAGATCAGCAACTGGCAACAGCCACGAAACTCACAGTAAACAGTAACTTTTTGCTTAGAAGAATGGGCTGCAGTAACAAAATTTGATCACATGGTTTCATTCTTACATGTTGCACCTTAATGCAGTCAAGCATTTCATTAAAACTCACACAACCACGTCAAGGACAACACAAAACTACAGAAACAGTATCACAAATACTGAATTTGTGGATCCCTTCATTGCTAGTTAAACTAAAAGTGTATTATCAAAGCAAAACGGGTGGTCCAGTAGCCTGTGTGACTAAATTAAATGCAACCAACAGCTACTGAGTTGTTACCTGGGTGGATGATGCAGGGGTCACACTCATTGATGGCGTTGCGGCAGCAGGGTACAGCATAGCCCACCTGAGTCCCCTGGAGAGGACATTTACAGCGGATCACGTCATACTCACAGCAGCCCCTGCACATAACGTTCCACTCGGGGCCCGGACAATGGCTGGACAAGTACCTGTAATCTGAGCACAGGGATACATCAGATTTTCAGCTGTGATCTTGATACACGTGAACAAATACTTGAGGATTTCAGTATTTTTTAAATCAGAGCTGCAGCTACTTCTTAAAAAAAAAAGATAATTTAACTCCCAGTAGTTTACCTCCTCTGAATTTTATTACATCAGAAAACATGCAATGCTGTGAAGTTACTGTCATGGAAAACAGACTTGGGTCCTAATCAGAAAATGCTGCAAGAACTCAAGTGTAAAGACTGGCCTTCTTTGTAAGGTTTTAATCAAATAAACGTGACGTTTAATTGGAGCTGAAAACCAGCGATTCAAAGACCTTTGAGCCTGAGTGGTTATATTATGCAACAGTGGATTTTAAAAGCAAAAACAGACAAGAAGAAATGCTCTTGTGACAGATGGAGATTGAGAACAAAAAGAGGCGACTGGCAACATTTCAGCCCGACATTCAGTCCGTCCTCCTGGCCCTGCAAACATAATTACTCCTTTGCTCTTAGCCATGGATTTCTCTATTTACAAAGCCATAACTACACACTAGCTTTGTGTTTCCTTAATGTGGGTTTTGTTGAGTTATGTCTCTAACACACAGATGCAAGCACAAACACTGACACACAATGGCAACAACAGCTGATAAATCTCTCAGAGGATGATGGAGAGAACCACAGATGTCCTGGAATGTTGTGAAGCCACCCTACTACACGCGCCTCGTGATTTTTATCTTGAGAGGCGCTATAGAAATGATGTTTTCTTCTTCTTCTCACACTGCTCTTCCACATAAATGATATCGTAAATTGTGTCTTGGCTTTGCAACAGTCTGGTTTTCCTCTCAGCTATCTGAGTTTTGACATTAGTCAGTGAAAGGTAAATTGTGTAAGGCTGCTGGCTCGATGTCAGCAGGTTTCCTGAGGACAGCTGCTGTGGGCTGGTTTCAGCACTCCACTGTTTTATGTTGTGTTGTTTTTTTTTTTCTGAGATCAGTCCATTTTTAATTGCTGGGTCAGCTGCACTTGTGTGTAAACCATGACAGCATCCACACTAAAAATTTAGGGTACCCTGTGGGATATGTGTGTGTCAGTCTGGCTTCGCGGACCATTGAACTTCCATACACAAGTCTTTTTCACAAAGCTCATTCCACCACATTAACTCAAAGTCCCTCGTCATGGAACAAACTTATGTAATCTCAGCTACAAAACTTTAGTTTCAAAGCAAATATGATGTTCCTTTTTTCAATATTTTTCTTTTAGTTTTATTTTCACCTTCCCATGAAAATAAAACAAGAGATGACCACAGTTTCTCCTCAGATATTCATTTTTGTGGATTTCTTTCAGAACCACAAACATTCACATGCTTGGGCATGGCCTGCAAAGGGATGTTCTCTGAGACAGGGTGATATAGTGCACAGACGGGGGTTGTGCAAACCCTACTACACACCCAGCTGATCGCGGGGATCCCCGAGCACTACATTGGAACGAATTAGGTACATTTAAGGCCCTGTTTCCACAAACCATGTCCCCCAGTGGTTTACACAACAAAAATACATTTGTTATGGATGGAGAAGTTCTCATTGTAAGAGATGTTTTGGCAGCTCTTTTTGTGTTTGTTTTTTGTTTAAATAACACTTTATACAATGCATATATTAGAAAAATAGCTTAAAATTTGTTCCTTTTAGCTGATTTTTCCAGCTTTCTGGCGTGCCAAAGTCCCTCTGAAAATATGTTGTTTTCCTCATACTTTGGATGAGAGGCACTGCCGAGCTCTGCAACTTGGTACTCCGCCCTAACCTCTAAAATGGTCAAGAAAATAAAAATATGGAAATTTGAGGAGGAAAAAATGCAAAAATGCTGATTTTTGGGGGGCCAAAGATGAATTATATTCATGTAAATTAGATCAAAATAATCTTCTGACTGTTCGTTCTGTGTTTTGGTTCATAATCATCTTCTTTTTTCTTATTTAACACAGTGTAGTAGTTTGACGATAAGCGGAAGTGACGCCACGAACAGCCAGCGGCTCTGACGAAGGCGGAAGCTCCGGCCAAAACATGTCAGCCAAAGGTAAAAGAACATCAAATTACTACACTGTTAAATAAGAAAAAAGAAGATCAAAATATTGTTTTTTGTTCTAACTGGATGATTTGTCCTTTTTCTCTACCCCTTCCTTGTGATAATTTGTTCCTACTGCATGTTGAACACTTCAACAGTGCAGGTTCAGTGCTTCCTAGCTGATGACACATGGACCGCAGGGACCGTGAAACCAGATTTACTGGACGTAAACATCAAACAGTTAAAAGGCTCTGAATGAGTAGATCTGGTAATGCCGTTATGTTGTTTTGTCCTTTACTGTAGAGATGAAGTCCTGCTGAATTAGCACTCTTTAACAAAAGGATCCAGGTCAAAAAATATCTACAAGTTTTGTATTTTCTTCATCTGTTCACCAAATCTTTGCATTTATGGTAGGTTTAGTCTCCATAAGCTGTTTTCTTAGTGCTTATTTGGGTTTTAAATGATCACAGGCAGCATTTTCTGTTTATTTTCTCTAACCGGATTCAGTTTGCTGACCTCCAGTTTTGCTGATAAAGCTGTAATGGTTCTCTCTCGGGCGTCTCCCCCGGAGCTGCACACAAACAGGAATGCATCTCCATCTTTCTCAACTATTTCTTTGAAAAGCATTTACTAAAAGTAGTGTTTTAAACCTTTTTTCTTCTTTAATTCTCGATCATTTAATCTAGCTACCTTATAACATGTGAGGCTCATGGTTCCTTGTCTGCAGATATGTATAGATTAACGTTCATTTACAGCCGTTTTGTAAGGTTGGAACAGCTCTGCAAAAGTGACTGCACAACTTAAATGCACTAATACTTGTTTAAATCTGCAAAGTTCAATGATTTCTTATTTTCTTTTACATCTCATATTTTTTGACTAAATCTTATTGGGTCTGGTTTTTTTTAAACAAACTCAGATGCAGGAAAAAAATTGCTATTAATTCACCCCGGTGTGAAGTTAGCAATGCTGAAAGTCATCAGAGAGGTGCCATAACTTTTGTTTTGTCTTCTCTGGCTAATATTTCTGTACTTTTATGTGCGTGAGGGTGTCTTATCTCTGCACACATGGAATTGCAAGTTTGTACAAAGTACATAAAAGCATTATAAAACATGGTGATCAGGATGGTTTATTTTACTGTAGATTTTTTTTAACTTTAGCTCAATTTTTTTGTATGGGAGCAGGGAGCTTTATCCACTCCAAGTGTTGCACTCCTCATTTATGTCAAGAGGAGGTCAATAAAACCTGTAAATGCTGCCATTTTGTTATTTAAGACTTGATTTAGAAGCTTGGTTTAAATTCTATGAACAGCTTGGATGGATCTAAACTCCACCGTGACCACTGATTCGAAATCTATGTGACTTTTTGACCTTCTTGGCCCTTTAACAACCCTGTCTGCCAAAAACCTGCTAAACAGAAAATGACTTTGATGTTAGTCTGAAGAAAAAAATAAACGCCTTGTAAATTTAACTCATCAAATGTGTTACAGGTGGTGATTTTGACCGTGTAAGTGACTTTAGAGGCCACATCTGCTCTGAATGAGAGCTATCGTTTTCTAGATTTAACCTAAGAAGCCCAAGGCTAGGATCTGAATTTTTCTTTCATTTGGATTTGCCAACAAGATCAGTTTTCCCTTCAAATCTATTTACAATTTGGTGTGTTAGAGGCTGGAAATAGCTTAGAAAACTGAGCTTGAAATGGACACATAAATTAGACACACGAATGTTGATCTGTCTACAAAATTTAGATTGATCAATGTCAAATTGCTCAAAAATGAGTTTGGGAAGGCTTCATATGCTATTGTAAACTTTACTTGAATTAATTAAAAAAATAGCAGTAACATGGTTGTTATAGTACGGAAGTGTATTGCTGTCAGTGCGAGGAAAAAATATAGGTTCAGTATTACGTAACAACTAGAAAGTTTCTCACTTTAACATGCTTAAAGCTGTTATAGCAAATCTACAGAACAAGCTAGGTTTCCAACACAAACATCACCACAGAACATTAACCCCTCTCCCCAGGTATCGTCCCTAAGTGTCACGCTGGGATGTAGTTGGAGGCGGACCATGTGTAGTGGAGCTGACCAGGAGGCAAAAAAGGCAGGCATGGATAAAGTAAAAAAAAATGATTTAATGGTAGAGCGGGAACGAACAGCACGAGACAACGATGTCAAACAAACCACAATGATCTGACACAGGACATACGAGACAGGAGGTATAAATACACAGGGGAAAATCAGGAACACATGGGCAGGTAACAAGGGGCAGGTGAAACCAATAGGGACTAATCAAGGGCAGGGGTAGATCATGACAGTACACCCCCCCCCCCCACCCCCCCACCCCCCAAAACCCCCAGGGGCAGATACCAGACGCCCACAAGATCCCCATGACTCGGAAACACACTGGAGACTCAGATTCGGGTACGCACTGGAGACTCTGACGAGGCTGCAACAGCCGAACCCAGACGAGGCTGCAACAGCAGAACCATGACAAGGCTGCAGCGCGGGACACTGGAGAGGCTGTAGCATGGAGGACCTGCAGGCGTGGACCAGGAAGTCGAAGAGATGAAGCTGAAGGAGCGACGCAAGGAATCCAGGATCGGCAGCAGGTACTCGACAGACAGTCCGAGCAGGTGCATAACAGGATCCACTGGGTCCACAGGCGGAGGCTCGGTTGAAGGGAAGCCGAAATGGAGCGTGAAGACCAGCCCTAGCACCCCGGAGACTGTTGGCGTGCGTAGGGGGGTTTTACTCCACATAAACTCCAGGATCCGCAGCTTCTGTGATAAAACAGGACGAGGCGAAAATAGCAGGAGAAGAGAAGGATGTAGACCACCCCGAGAACATGTAGGATGCGTCCAAACCCCTCAATGGGCTCGACCACCCCGAGAACAAAATAGGATGCGCCAATAACCCCTCAAGTCCGAAATCTCCCTCCGCTGAACAGGAGCAAAAGGAAAAAA